CGGGGGGTGGGGGGACACGTCGGGAGGAGAGGATATAAAAAGCCAGAAGTGCAAATAGAAAGGCCCGGGATTCGCCTTCGGGTGCTTCAAGCAGGAGCTGGGGGGGGTCTGGTGGCCCCAGGGCCACCATCGCTCCTCACCGAGGTGGGACCAGGAGGTGGCAGCTCCTTGGTGGCCCCAGGGTCACCATCGCTCCTCACTGGGGTGGGACCAGGAGGTGGCAGCTCCCTGGTGGTCCCAGGGTCACCATCGCTCCTCGTTGGGGTGGGACCAGGAGGTGGCAGCTCCTTGGTGGCCCCAGGGTCACCATCGCTCCTCGTTGGGGTGGGACCAGGAGGTGGCAGCTCCTTGGTGGCCCCCCAGCCGCCTGGCGAGGGCAGGAGGTGTTGCTCGGGTGGGATGTCACCTCCTGGTGGCCCCGGCGGTGGATGTTTGCCAGCATCTGGAAGAACTTCTTCCTGAAGGACTCGGGGCAGATCCTCCACACAGGATCCCGGAGCCGTTACTGGGAGCAAGTGCTGGTGGCCGGGCTGTGGCACTGGGATGCTGGTGGGGGACCGGGGACCACGCGGATGGGAGGGCTCCGATGTGGGGCCTCCCCAGGAAAAGGCACGGGATGAAGTTTGTCCCACTTGAGTCAGAGCTTCTCCACCCTCCAGGGAGCCCTTGTCCTCGGGTCTCGGCGGTGGCCGTGGGGCACAAACGCTGCAGGGACCTATCCCCACCCCCTGTGTCCCTGTCCCCACCCCCCGTGTTGGTGCCACGGCTTTGGGAACTTTGGGAAGTCCTTCGTTAAAAGCTCGTTGGGTGAAGAACCTCCTCCAGGCTTTCCCATTCCTAAAAACGCTCAATTAAAGACACGTTCCCCGTTTGCTGGGGGAATGGTTGGTCCCCAAAGTGGGGGGGTGACCCCTAGACCTCCCCCAGCGTCCGAGGGGCTGGAAATCCTGACCTGACCAGCAGCGCCAGGACTCGGGACACACAATCCCAACGTCACACGGCCTCCTCCACCCAAAACCCACGGCAGCCACCGTGGAAATCACAACTGGTGGGTACCTCTGTGTGTGTCCCCCCCCAGTGAACACTAAGGGCTGGGGTACCTGGGCTGGGCAGCGGGGACACGTGATGCCATGGACAAGCCAAGGTGATGCTTGATGCCCCCAACATCCAACACCAGCCACCAGGAAGACCCAGGAAAAGGCTTCCAAGGAACAGCCTGAACGTTTGGTGCCAGGTTCCTGTGGCCGCCCCTCGCCCGGGGTTGGTGTTGAAGGGTGCAAGGTGGGGGGACCACGGCCTCAGACCCCCCAGCTCCATGTCCTCCTAGACCGAGGACCTTCCAGACCCCACCTGCAGCGGGTTTGTAGCCCTCCCTGAACCTCAGGTGGGTCTAACACGAAGCCGTGTGGATCACCAAGAAAATTCAACGAGGCCACTTGGTCCAAACTGGGGTTTTTCAGTCACCGGGGAGGGTCATTAAGGCAAAAGCAATGCAGCATTAAAGAAATTAAACCTCTGCACCGTGAATCCCACATCTCCCTTTGGCTGGTGGACCTGTCTCCAGCCAAGGTGCCTTGGTGGGCTGATGAACTCCAGGCAGGGAAGCAGCAGGTCCAGAGGTGTGGGTCCATCTCCATCCCCTCTCGGTGTGCGCTGGTGGGGGGGAAGCCCATTCAGTCACCGGGGAGGGTCATTAAGGCAAAAGCAATGCAGCATTAAAGAAATTAAACCTCTGCACCATGAATCCCACTCGTCCTTCGGCTGGTGGACCTGGCTCCAGCCAAGGTGCCTTGATGGGCTGATGAACTCCAGGCAGGGAAGCAGCAGGTCCAGAGGTGTGGGTCCATCTCCATCCCCGCTCGGTGTCCGCTGGTGGGGGGGGGGGAAGCCCGTGGAGTGTCTCCCCGGCGTGGGACACCAGCCTCCCCCACTCCAAACCTGGCTCCGGGTCCAGGGGATTTGGTCTCACAGGCCCAGGGTCCCTGAGCCCGGGATCTTTGGTTCCTCCAGAGGAGGCTGCATAATATTGCAAAAAATGACACACACAATTCACCACAGAGGAGCGTAAATTATGAGGTTTTGCCAAGTCCTTGTCATGACATATTATTTTACACAATTCCTGAATCTACTGTCTTTAGGTGAAGAGAAGATAAATAACAGAGTTTAATAGTTGTTCACTTGATCTTGAGAAATGAACACACCACAAAAAAAAAAAAAAAAAAAAAAAAAAGAAAGGCAGAAGGGACTAGTGGAGAGGGTTTCAGAAATCAACGTGGGAAAGGGTGTGAGTACCTAAAAATGGGGTTTTTTGGACTAATTCAGAAGCGCTTTCCTGATATTCTGGCCTGTTTTGTCAGATGGATACGGGTCATTGGCTATTTTAAGCCTCCGTCGCGTGTGGCCGTAAAAACCCTCTCCTGAATTTGGGTTTGCTAAACCTCTGGCTTTGGAGCTCTTTTTTGGGCGCGTGACCGAGTCACAGCTGAGCATCTCACAATTAATCCCCCCTCCAAAAAAATCCAAGGCACGGGGAGGGCGGCCGGAGCCCGAGTCCATCTTCCCTCCGCTGGCTCTGTCTCCATCTCCATCTCCGGGGGGGGGGATGCTAATTCCCCGGGACGCAGAGGATGAAACCGGAACGATGTTTGGTGAAATCCGGCTGGGATTGGTTAATCTTGGTTTCCACGGAGACGGTGCATTTCCGCCCGTGGAGGCTGCACTGGACCGGGTTGGTGACACTGACCTGCAGGGCCCGTTTCTCACTGCCAAGGGAAAAGGGGAGAGAGAGTCAGGATGGGGGGGGTGAGGGGGGGTTGGGATGGGGTCCCTCAGAGCTCAGAGCAGAGTCAGGCCGGGGGGGGTGGGATGGGGTGGGATGGGGTCCCTCGGAGCTCGGCGTGGGGCGAGGAGAGGTGATTTTGGGGCAGGATGCATCCTGCAGCACATCACGCTGAGCCAAACCTTGGCGCTAAGGACAGCTTTTTGGGATGGGTCCCCCCCAGGGATGGTCCCCCCCACGCAGGGAGAGGACCCCCAGGAGGGGGGCAGTGCTGGGGTGGGGGGATATATGTCCCCAAGCACCAGGCTGGGGGAAGAACGGACTGAGAGCAGCCCTGAGGAGAAGGCCTTGGGGGTGTCGGTGGGTGAGAAGCTCCACACGCCCCTCAACGTGCGCTGGAGCCCAGAAACCCCCCGCACCCTGGGCTGCATCCCCAGCCCCGTGGGCAGCAGGGCCAGGGGGGGATTCTGCCCCTCTGCTCCGCTCTGGGGAGACCCCCCCAGTGCTGCCTCCAGCTCTGGGGCCACCAACAGCAGAAGGACATGGAGCTGTTGGAGCGGGGCCAGAGGAGGCCCCGGAGATGCTGTGAGGGCTGGAGCCCCTCTGCTGGGAGGGGGGGCTGAGAGAGTTGGGGGGTTCAGCCTGGAGAAGAGAAGGCTCCGGGGAGACCTTGGAGCCCCTTCCAGTCCCTCAAGGGGCTCCAGGAGAGATGGGGAGGGACTCTGGATGAGGGAGGGGAGCCCTAGGAGGAGGGGGAAGGGTTTGACCCTGCAAGAGGGGAGATGGAGCTGAGCTGTGGGGAAGAACTTGTTTGGTGTGAGGGTGGTGAGAGCCTGGCCCAGGTTGGCCAGAGAAGCTGTGGCTGCCCCATCCCTGGAGGGGTTGAAGGGCAGGTTGGAGGGGGCTTGGAGCAACCTGGTGTGGTGGGAGGTGTCCCTGCCCAGGGCAGGGGGTGGCACTGGGGGGGCTTTAAGGCCCCTTCCAACCCAAACCATTCTGTGATACCCCTCCACGGGGCCCCAGGGTCTCTGGGGCAGCTCAGGCACCCGCTCACCCAACGACCCCACGAGCAATCACTCCTCCCTGTAATTACACTAATGATGATGACACCCCTTGTTCTGAGCTCAGAGATGAAAAGCGCAGCAGGAAATAGCTGGAAGAATCACAGGTAGGGCTGGGGTGGTTTTTAATTCCCTCCCCAGACAGACAGACAGACAGACAGACCGACTGTGCAGCCTCCTGGGGTCAGAGTGCCCTGAACTGGGACATCAGCTGGGCCAAAACTGTGTCACTGCAAACCATCCCCCAGCTTTTTAACCCTTTAACCCAGCTTTGGTGCTAAAAACCATTCTCATGAGTGAAATGAGGAGTTCCTGCCACCCAAAGTAGTTTGTCCTTGGCTCTTTGGGTCACTGCAGGTTGGGGACATTAGGACAGCGTGGCCACAAGGCTGTCCATCTCTGCTCTGGAGAAACACCTGCAGCAGATCCGTCCCCACCAGCCACCGCCAGCCTGGGGAAGTGGGAAGAGACATCCAGGAGTTCCTGGATCTTTCTTCCCATTTCCCCTCCCTACGACTCCCTGAAAGGAGGGTGTAGCCAGGGGGGGTCGGTCTCTTCTCCCAAGGAACAGGCGATGGGACAAGAGGAGATGGCCTCAGGTTGCACCAGGGGAGGTTTAGGATGGATATTGGGGAAAAATTCTTCACCGAAAGGGTTATCAAGCCTTGGAAGAGGCTGCCCAGGGCAGTGGTGGAGTCACCATCCCTGGAGGGGCTGAGGGACATGGGGCAGGGGGGGTTTGGGCAGTGCTGGGTTGATGGTTGGACTCAAAGATCTGAAAGGTCCCTTCCAACCTGGGCAATTCTATGATTCTATGACTTGGCCTTTGGGAAATCCCTCCCGTGACCTCACCTATACTTGAAATTCCTGAATCTCCAGAATTTCTTAGTATAATACCAAGTGGTTTAAGGACTCCACCACCTCCCTTGATGATCTAACCACCCTGCAGAGGATGTGCTGGGTTTCTCTTCTGCTGCCTGAGCTTCCAGAGCCCAGGTCTTGCCTTGCTTTAGTCATTCCAGCATTTTCACTGCCCCAGCCCCAGCCCTTCACGCAGCACAGGCTTCGTTTTCCTTCTTAAAGACCATTCAAGACACGTCACAGCCCATAACCTGCATTTTCACTCCCTTCCACCCAAGTGAGCGGGTGTTGGGCTGGAGGGTACGGGCAGGGCAGCGGGACACGGAGCCCTCACGTTGTCCCAGGTATTTAATACTTATTTACTCTTCCCTCGGTGACTCGAGGCTACAATCCCTGCTTAGTTTGCTATTTTTACCGTGTCTTAGCAGGAGGAGCCGCGTGCCCAGCGGAGCCTCTGGGAGATTCCTGCCACCGAGTGCTCAGGGGGGGCAGGGTCAGCATCAAGGGGCTGTAAGGACTCTCCTTCTGCCCTCCCACAGCCCCCACCAAATTATCTGTGAGAAGATGGAGGGTCTGTCACTGTTAATGGTCCAACTCTTGGCCCTTTCAACAGCACTAAGGAGCCCAGACCCATGAAGCTGAATTTTGAGCACAAGCAGGAGCCGTGTCTGGAAATCAGCAGGGCCAGGTTGGGGGGATTCTGCCCCTCTGCTCCGCTCTGGGGAGACCCCCCCAGTGCTGCCTCCAGCTCTGGGGCCACCACCAGCAGAAGGACATGGAGCTGTTGGAGCGGGGCCAGAGGAGGCCCCGGAGATGCTGGGAGGGCTGGAGCCCCTCTGCTGGGAGGGGGGGCTGAGAGAGTTGGGGGGTTCAGCCTGGAGAAGAGAAGGCTCCGGGGAGACCTTGGAGCCCCTTCCAGTCCCTCAAGGGGCTCCAGGAGAGATGGGGAGGGACTCTGGATGAGGGAGGGGAGCCCTAGGAGGAGGGGGAAGGGTTTGACCCTGCAAGAGGGGAGATGGAGCTGAGCTGTGGGGAAGAACTTGTTTGGTGTGAGGGTGGTGAGAGCCTGGCCCAGGTTGCCCCGAGAAGCTGTGGCTGCCCCATCCCTGGAGGGGTTCAAGGGCAGGTTGGAGGGGGCTTGGAGCAACCTGGTGTGGTGGGAGGTGTCCCTGCCCAGGGCAGGGGGTGGCAATGGGGGGGCTTTAAGGTCCCTTCCAACCCAAACCACTCTGTGAGTCTATGGTGCTTTTGTTCATGTGAGACCAGGTTTCAGCCTCAAAACCTTTTGCTGGGGGAGGAGGATGCCTCCTGAATGGCATCTAAAGAACAACCCCCTTGGCATGTCCACACAGGGATTGCAAGCCCCATCCTTGCTCTTCCCCAAGGAAGCAGACAACACAGCTCTGAGCCCTGCCACCAGCTCCACAAGCAGCTCGAGGTGCTGGGACCTTAAGTCTCTTGGACACGGCTCCTGTGCTTGGTCAACGGCCAAGGAGGCAGAGGCTGGAGGAGATGGCGGTTTGGTTTCCAGTCCAACAGTCACACCAGCATCAGACCTGTTGATGCAGCTGCAGAAAAGGGGAGATGGCAGCAGCTGGCTGCCCTGCAGTAAGAGGGTTTATTTATTGACCGAAAGGGAGAAGACATCTGCCTGCATCAGCTGATGAACCGGACTAAAAGACCTTCCAAATCACAGCGCTACAGTGAGACTTTACTGAGTAGCACAGCTGGGGAGAGGCTTCCCCAAGGTCCTGCAGAATTTAGATCCCAAAGGAAGAGTCTGGGCTGGAGATGGTCCCTGGAAGTCCAACAAAGCCTTTCATAGACAAGGGCAACACACAGTGAAAGACACCAGACCCTTTGGGGGTCACTGGTGCCCTGCAAGACCCTGAGCAAGACCCCAATGGCAGCAAAGGCAGAGACAAGTCCCACTTCCACTCAAACTTGGGCTAAATTATGAGTTTTCACTGCATTATCTTGTCTTGCCGTGGTACCTTGCTCTTCCACCTCTTCATCTTGATAAGATAATTGAGTCAGGAAAAGGTCATTAAGGTGAAATTCAAGTGGAAGGAAGCTCGCACTATTAAATGTCAAGCTTGGGAACACACATCTATTCACCCTCCATGCCTTACTCCTTAAGTATTTCAATGGTTGCTACTATTTAAGGAACATTTATGAATTTACTAATTACTTATGAATAATCTTCTGGCCTTCTGACAATTTAAAGTGCCAACTGGGTTCTGTATTGAGTCATTTAAAGACTTACGAGCAGAATTGAATGTATTCCTGACTATTCTGTGGCTGAAGACACAGTCACAGCGCAGAGAGTTGTGAGGTACCCAAGGTCACAGAAAACTGTTGGAATTATGAGTTACGCCCAAATTCTCCAACTTTTGGGTGCTGTCATTTAACTGCAACACCCCCGGCAGCCCAAATGCCCAGAAGTCTCTTCTTTCACCCTGTGGATCTACTCGATTGAAGGCTCCTGTGCTGGTTCAGACCCTGGTTCTTACCCAGAGCAAGGTCCAAGCTCACCCCTCTGTTCAACGGGCGACGGCTGCCTGCGTGTTACGGCCTTAAATACAGCTGGAAGGTTCCGGCAGCCCAAATGCCCAGAAGTCTCTTCTTTCACCCTGTGGATCTACTCGATTGAAGGCTCCTGTGCTGGTTCAGACCCTGGTTCTTACCCAGAGCAAGGTCCAAGCTCACCCCTCTGTTCAACGGGCGACGGCTGCCTGCGTGTTACGGCCTTAAATACAGCTGGAAGGTTTTTTGCTGCCTGGAGAAGACCCCTGGCCTCGTCTCTTTGTGTTCATCACCCTCCAATGTGCCACATCCCAGCTCCTGAAGGAGGGGAGATCCACCCCCCCCGGGCAGATCCGACGGCGGGATGGCCAGGAGCCCCCGGAGCCATCACTAGATTGATGCTACAGGCTACGTAGGAGAGTTTGTTCCAGACATCAGCCTCTATTTTAGTGAACCCCTAACAGGCTCCTGAGACACTCCTGCTGTCTGTCTGGTGCAGAGGAGCCTGTCCCCGAGGTCTCCGTGCCCGTGGCAC